ACCAGGAAATCATCCAAAGTCAATCAGTCAGTTATGTGCCATGCATGATACACGCTTAGGCGATCATGTATGTTTTGATACATGACTGACGAGGCAAAATTTTTCCTGCAGTAGGTTGCCATTTCTTTCTACAGTAGACCAGTTGCCATCCATGGCTATAGAACCCTGTCTGTCCTGCTATTTACCCATAGCTGGGGGGAGAAGAAGATGATTCATACCAAGGGTATTAGCATATGTGAATGTAATAGATTCAACTGGAATTCGAACTCAGTTCTCTGATTCCTCATTCCAAGCCACTATCCATTACTCCACCATGCATCCTCCAAAGTAGTGTTCTTTTATTGGAGGTAAGTTGTGATAGGTTGAGACTGGTAGGAAAACCCAAACAATTGCCATATTTTGAGGCCTACTGAAGTCAACCCAATCTTGATTCGGATTTTCTTTTTTGACAGTACAGAAAACACTAATTCTTTTTTGAGATAAGATTTTGTTTTCTCCTTCATTGTTACACTACTTAAACCATAAAATGAGTGGAAAGAAGAGATGGAGTCATACTTTTCCTAAGGGTATTTGTGTGAAAATGAATGTAATGGACTTGACCAGAATTTGAACTCGGCTCACCTATTTTGAATTCTGAATTTAAAACCATTATACTACATGCACATCTAAACTAATAAATTAGTCTAAGTTCAAAAGCATCGATATTGCCAACACTCCATGTAAGGTAGCATTAGAAATAAGAGAAAAAGGCTATGTATTTATCTTCTTTTTTTTCTTTATATAAATTTTATCACTCATAGTAAAATATGAGATTCTGGTTAAGTAATCAAAATATAACATATTTTTTTTTTTTACATTTTTTATTCTATTTCTGTTCGTCTTTGTCAAAAGGAAATAAGACTATCACTGTGTTTCACACATCTCTTTCTTTGATTGGGGATAGCATATATTCATGAACAAAGGATACCGTAATGAGATTTTATAAGGATTATCAAGTTCTTTTTGGATTAGATGAAAGTTATTACCTGATTTTCATTTCTAATTTTGATTTCTTTTCTGGCGTACTTAATGTTTTCAGATTCATAAAACTTTGGTTCTTATTTACACTATTTACATTGTTTGGGCTGCTGTCCTCATCTTCGTTCACAACGTTTCTTCGAGTGATTGGAATTTCATCCACCAAGGTAGACTGTTCTAGTTCCACATGCCATACCTCTTCCGGGTGTCTCAGTAGCAGTTATCTCCCTTTAACTCAATTCTCCAAGTTTTTGATTTATTGAACTCATAACTCTTTGGGTCAAGTCACTCAATGCTTTTATCCACTAGGCCATGCTTCTTTCTCTTCAATAAGTTTGTATCCTAATGATGAAAAAGCATCTGTGACAAGGTATTTATTTCTCAAATTAATCTGCTTCTTTACCCAAAACTTTTCCATATCATAGAGATCAAACATTATACAGTTAAAGTTTCAGATTACAATTCAGATATGCCAGGCTGTAAATTTATTGAACCTCATTTATATATATATATATATATATATATATATATATATATATATATATATAAGAATTTTGAAAAACAAACAAAAATCTAAATGTAGTTAAATGAAAGAAATGTCGACGTCTTTCATTTAACTACATTTAAGGATTTTTTTTGTTTTTTCAAAATTTCTTCATTCTGTCAGATTTATATCCATTTACACTTGCTTATATATATATATATATATATATATATATATATATATATATATAAATGTAAAACAAAGATTGTGTTTCACAAATGAAAATGGTAGATGGTCAACTAGAGTATTTCTGGAAGAAAATCTTAAGACAAGTTTTTTTTGTAATCATAGCACGATATAAAGAGATAGACTATTAATATTAATAAGCAAAATTAAAATTCACTTATCACTACACTGAGCTTCATGAAGATTACATCCACTCTACTTGAGAGCTGATTGCAAAAGTGGATTTGTTTTCAGAAACAATTTTTTTTTTTTTAAAAAAAAGAAAGTCTTTCAAGAAAAATATGATTTCTGAAAATAATTCCCTTTTACAATCAAGTTTTTGTGAAGAGTGGATGTAATCTCCATGAAACTCAAATTAGAGACAAGTATACATTTAATTTTATTTACTGCTATATATAAATATATAAAGCAATTTAATATTACATGTTATTATAACACCTTTTAATTTTAATTGATTGGCCTGTGATAAATCTGGCTATATATATATATATATATATTAAATATCCAATGAACAGTGGCTGACCACAGCTGTTTCATGCATTCTCACATGTGGTCAATCACCAGATGATTGTGTGAGAACACTGTTCACTGGAAATTTAATTAAAATATATTAAAGATTTGCCAGTTAATATGGCATTGGGCTCTCTTTCTCCAGTGTGCCTGTATAGCAGACTCTCAGAGGAGTTGTTATCATATTATAACACCTTTTAATTTTAAATGCTGGCTTGTGATAACAAATCTGGCTAGCATTCATTGTACAACTTTATATATATATATATATATATATAATTTGTAATTGATTTTGTCCCAAAACGGGGAGTAAAGCCACTGAGACACAAGTGGTTACTGGGTGTGGAAGAGGTAGAAACAGAAACATTGCTAAGGAGCAAGAAAAATCATCAGGAGGACAGATGATAGTGATTGATATTGATTTTACATTTTTGCAGATTAGAGTTTATCTGTAAAGCACGGAGCTGGAAAGGAGTTCCACAAGTAAGAAGTGGGTGAAAAGAAACTGTTAGCATAGAATTTATGGTTAAATTTAGCCAACTCAAGTCTATATTGATGAGACCTCGTAACCAGTCTAGGACTGTGTTTAAATTCAAGGAGCCTAGGTATGATAGCAAAGAGCTCATCTGAACAATTACCAAGAAAGTATTCATAGAAAAGGCACAGGAAGACAACCTTATGGCGATGGGAAAGAAACTAAAGCAAAGTCACCAGAACAGGGTCAATAATATTGCCAATTCTTCTTTGGATTTTATCAAGGAGAACTAGACTAAATGTGGCAGCAATATTCTAAGCATGGATAAAGGACAGACTTATAGATATACAAGATTGATTCTGGAGAGAAAATTGTGTGTGTGTCTTTATATATATATGATTGTGTGAGAACATTGTTCACTGGAAATTTAATTAGAATATATTAAGGCTCTGCTAGCTAATATGGCTCTCCAGTGCACTTCAATATGTGCCCTAAAAATTTCACTCTTAGGTGCTGCTTATTATATATATATATAATTTAACACATCACAAGAAATATTTAATAAAAATCTCACTTAAAATTTTGAAAAACTTAGCGTTGCATCTTTGCACGTTCCGAGATCTTACACAACCGTCAATAATAGCAGATATTCAAAAAACATCTTTCGGTCGACATACAAGTATATCGTCTCCAAGTTTTTGATTTTATAAGGAAAAAAAACACATGCCTGATGATGAATAGAGGACTATTCGTAAGTACTAGCATTTTAACATCAAATAAACTGAAAACTACGGACATCAAGTTTATCAACGAGGATCAACTCGCACTATGGATTAACAGTATTTTAATGCATATATTATGCTTCTAGCGATGGATGTCGCCAATAATCGCATTAATACTTCTGATTGATTCTATGTGTGATTATTTCTTTGTATATATATATATATATATACTCTACATGCAATCCACTAGAGGGCTGCTGATGGCGATGCCAGCTTTCCTCAGGTGTCAGCCTCCGGCAGGCCACCAGTTGGCTTGTAGTAGTCCATTGCTGAGATGAACATGCTGGTGGTCCAACAGCGGTAAATGCTAGTAGCATGCCAACCAGTGGCAGATTGGTGGCTTGCATGTAGATGTATGTGTGTGTGTATATATATATATATATATATATATATATATATATATATATATGGACATGGCTCTCCACAACTTCTTTGTAGCTCTTAGTAATGTTTATTTTTTTACTACTGCTCCCACTACTGTTCTGCCATCCATTTACACAATCTTTTTAGGTAAGTTATTTGTTGTTTGTCTATACCATTTACCTGTCTTAATTAATGTCCTGTGAGTGACAAATTCTCCAAGCTATCTTTCTAATATGTGTCTGAGAAATTTCAACTGTCTCTTTCTGATTCTTTTTCTTTCCATTTTCCTTGAAACTTCCTCATTGCTCACATGCTCCATTCCTGTAATTCTTCTGTGAAACTATATTTCTCTTTCACATTAAATTGCATCCATTGTGAGGGTATAATAGATAAGTTGCTGTACATTTTTGCAGTCTGGATGAATTGCAGTGACCAACACTCTGGAAATGGCCTTTAAATCATGCCTCATATAGACTGGCAAATATATAACTTTACTCTAAACAGTCAATTTATATTGAAGTTCATTAAAACATGAGGTCAAAAGGAATTGAGTGAATCATGAATTTAGGTTTTTTTTTTCATTTCTGAATTGGGTTGACTGGCAAAACAAAAGGCATACTATTATTACTTTTTTTTTTTTTACTAGTCTATCTTTTAAATCATATTTTCTTGTTTTTTCAAGTTTAAAAATAATTGTTCCCATTTTTCCAAAGAAATAACTTACCTTGAAAAACTTCTGAAATTCTGTTTTTTTTTTTTTGTTTTTTTAAGGACAAATTCATTCTAGAAACAAAAGACAATTAAAAAGGGAAATAATTCAAGAGAAAGTCAAAAATATTAAATGCTATATATATATATATATATATATATATATATATATATATATATATATATACATATATATATGATCATATGTCATGACCTTTGAAGACCTAATTTTGAAGCTAATTTGACTACAGTAAATGGATATATGGTTTGGTTAACAGTGTAACAGCAAGGGCCAGAGGTACATATGCTAATTTTATATCTCATAAATGATGTGACTCCCTTAAAATTAGCTTCAAAATTAGATCTTGAAGAGCCACATGATACGCAAATATATATGGAAACAAGAAAAGGATACATCCTGAAGGCATAGGAACTGTTTCATAACACAAATTTGGTTGATCAGTCGAGATTGACCTGTAGAAAAAGAAATAAATAAAAAATTAGATATTGCAAACCAGTTTATAGTGTTAAAAAGTTCAAAACTAAAATCCATGCAGTATTTAGCAAGCTTATCTCAAAGACCATTATAAGTGTAGTGTTTGATTTACACTGAATGCCCAATATTTGTATCCTTATACCAGACTAAGTTAAGTAGTTGATGTCTCATCAGTTGCTTTGTATCAGACTAACCTAAGTTTAAGAAATATCTTTCATAACTGAAACATGAGCAGAAAATAAATAAATAATGTAGAATTCTTGTCTGAAAGAATCATTGACTATCAAGGTAATTGGTGAAAAGATTTTAGCACCAAGCTAAATAAAAAGAAAATCGCATTATACAATGAAAATACCAATGAAATCTAAGAAATATTAAAAGATCACAGACAGATAACAGAAATTACACTTAGAAAACAATAGTTATCTTAATTTCAAAGTGAGTCTGTAGGGACATTAATATTAATAAATATAAAATAATAATAATAATAAATATCATAAATAAAATAAAAATAACATTAAAACTTTGTTTAAAATAAAAGAAAAAAAAAATCAAAATAATAAAAGTTCTCCCAGCATGCAACAGAAAAGTTGTGCCAAAAAACAATGAACACACTCTCTTTGCAACAGACCCTTTGTTATATAGGAATAAAGTCTCACTGCCAAAACTTGAGTTTGAACACAGATTGCCAATAAGCAAACAGAGGCGATCACATTATTGAATTAAGTATACCATGTGACCATATAGGAAACACACAAATAGGAAGTCGCATGATGTCTAAATGATTGTCATTTCTAGTCTATCCTCTATTACTATTTGGATTGCTATTTCTATTCTATCCTCTATTACTATACTGTTCGCTTTTCTCTATACTATTTCTCTATTCAGATCACTATACAGTGATTACTATTCGAGCAAGTATTATTGAGCAAGTACTATTAGTGCAAGATTATTCAATTATTGACATCAGCATTGTTCAATGGTGTACTATAGCTGTATCTGTGATTACAAAGTCTCTACTTCAATGAGCATTACAAAAGTGACAATGAGTATTCGTTGACATCATAAAAGTGGCAACGAGTGTTCATTGACATCACAAAACCCTCGAAGGGTCAAGATAGCCATCTCCTCTCCTGGTTGTTATTAGATATGTAACCAAAATACACCCACACCAGTACACAAAATAAATAAAAATTATACGATTTTAATTTACAATTTAATATGCTTTTAGTGCTATTTACTTGTATGTTTTTATTCCTACTGGTATGATGAGAGTGACTCCACAAGTTTCAACCAAAAACTTAAAAAGAAAAATTATTTTAATTAATTGAAAATGCATGTATCTATGTATAAAGCAGGTTAATTTATTAATATTTCAAATAATATTTCATTTTAATTTGAATTACTTTTTATGGAAATTCTTAAACTTGTCATTTGACAGCTATTAATAAGCAATGATAGTTGCAATAAAAAACAACGGAAATTAAGATGGACAAAATACAAGTCAAAAATTAATTTTTTTTTCTCCTCATCATCAAGAGGAAGAACATATTGCTTTAATGACTAGCCTACTTTGAAAATCTACATTTAAAATCTTTTTACCTAAGCATAAATACTGAGATTTCCAGATAATATACAACTACCTCAGGTATCAAATAGATCCATTTATTAATTTAGACACAAACCAATATGGAACAAGTGCTACAAGACAGGCCACAGTTGTGCCTTGATATTTACTAACTTTAGTTTAGTCTGGCAAAAGACCAAATGATAGAAATTGGAAGTAGGTAAAGATTGTACTGCACCAATATACCAATTTATGATAAAGTCTTTGTATTTTCATAATTCCAAAATTGATTATCGTCATCTCAGCTGAAATGTTCTGCAGTGTTCCTAAAGATTTCTGTTACAAATAAGGCTTCTTGAGTGTCACCCAGTTCAGACTGAAAATTCTCTTTTGTGAAATTAAGGATATTTTTTTTAAAATATTTTTTAATTCATAAATAATGAACTATATTGTTCTTATTGAAAATTAAATTCTGGACAATGTTCAGTGATCTGTAAATGACATTTCAGTCCCGGGGCCACTCAAAGTAGAAGGTTATGTTAGGAGGCCATTAGTGTGTATAGGAGTGGAAGATAACAGTTAACTCAAGCCTTGAACAGGTCAAGATTGTAGTGATTGGGGAAACAATCCTCTTGGGAGTCGGTTCCACAAGGCAGTGGTTCACAGGAAAAAGTTGCTAGAGTGAAACTTATTTCTCACCGATGAAATACAGAGAGAATGTGGGTGGTGTGTTCTTGCTTTGAAGGTTTGACTTGGTGGTACCAGGGAATGTAATTCGTTAGAGAGTGAGGATGGAGAATAATTCGTCACCCACAAGGACTTGGAGACACTTTCGGACTCTATCAAGGCTGTAGAGTGAAGTCTGGGCAGCTCCAAACCAAATATGACAACAGTCCTCCATTTTTGGCTTGATATGACTCTTGTAAAGGTAGAGGATAGCAGGAGGAGTCAGGTATTTATTGGAGCAGTACAGAGAGCTGACCATTTTACCTGCATCCTTAGCAATAGATCAGAGGTGAATTTGAGGCCCACTAGTCTTTTAAGGCATGGTGCTTCCCCGAGAGAATCTCCATTCATCCTGATTGGTAGTAGCTTGCGGTCAGATCAGAAATGATGGAATGTAACTAGCTTGGTCATGTGTTCTCAATGAGAAATTCCTTGCTTCCAATGTCTATTGGGACTCTAGACCTCAAGTGGAACTAAGATATATGATTCATCACTAAGCATGCTGCAAAAAATAGTCAGTTCTTTGCACCATTCCAGAAAGTATCTGGCTGCTCCTGCTTGGCTCTATCATTACAAGATTCAGCTCAGATAAAAAAAATAGAGTATTGCTGACATATCTGTGCTGGAGCTGCCCATTCCTAGTCTTGAGTTCAAAAGCATCTACATGGCCTTGTAAGTGATGAATTATTTTCCACTCTACAACCCCTTTCCCACAGACAAAATGTCACAAGCCTTTCGCTATTCTATTGTTATTTTCATGGCAAATGTTCAAATGAACTACATTCCTTACTTCCCTCAGGTCAGACCTTTACACTTAGGACCCGCAATGCCTCGTGCATGGCTTCAACTCATTCTCATCCCCTTCGTATTTCCCTGGTAAGAAGGAAGTTTCATTCAGAAACAATTTCCTAAAAACAATTACTTTGTGGAACAGACTCATGAGAGGATGCTTCCCTGGTCACTTCAATTGTAACCACTTCAAGTTTAGGGTCAATTGTTTTCTATCCTACATATAATAATCTGCACATACTTCCTCCTCTTATGTACATACAACACCTTCATTCAATAATCCTCTATGTTGAGTGGCTCTTAGGTCTTTTACTTGGTAGGAATTTTATTAAAAAAATAAAAAGATACACAGATAAAGCAAGAATTGTTTTTTTATGTGCTGTGTTACTTCTGCATAAGGGTGATCATGACACTCCACAACTTCCTTATCAGTTATAAGCAATATTTATCCCTTTACTATCATGAGTCCCTGTTCTCACATCAATTTACACAAGCTCATTAGGTAAGTTACTTTGATGGTTTTAATCTGTTTGGAATGACTGCAACCCCCACCCCCTCAAAAAAAAAAAAATTACAGACAAATCATGCAGATGCATGTTGGGATTGCTTCCTAACGAACAAGATAAGCCACTTCTCAGTGTCATCTTTTTGTTCTTTATTGTCGTGAAACCAGAATGCTAAATTCACTTATTTGTATCCCTTTTGTGTGCTAACATCATTCTTACTTTGTGAACTTTTTGGCTTATTACCATTACTTTGCTGAATTTTGTCATACATATATATTGTTTGCTTAGTATTACTTTGTCCTGTTTTTTTTTTCTTCCTTTTCTTATTGTTTATTGGAAACTTTATCAATTCCGTTTGTTGGGCATATCTGCCAATTACCCTTAACAATGGCCAATTAATTTTTATCTTCTGTTCCTCTTGCTTTCAATATATCCTGTGAATGTCAAATTATCCATGCCTTCTTTCATCATTATGTATCTCAGAAATTTCAATTGTCTCTTTCTGATTCTAAGAAGAAGAGTCCTCCTCTTTGTTTTCATTTTCTTTAAAACTTCTTTGTTGCTCACATGATCAGCAGAATGAATATGCAGAACAGCAGAATGGTGAGACAGAGGGTCCTAAGACTCATACTAACTCTATAGATTATTTATTATGGGAGAGGGCTCTGAAATGTTCTTAAACTGAACAACTTTCCAAAATCTGACCAAACATGAGAAATTGTTAAGGAATCATTCTTGGTCTAGTAGAGAGCCTCAACACCTCATATGTCAATAAAACTATATATACAATTTTGCAGTAGAAATGAGATCAGAACCGTTGATGGATATTGTCATTTGAGACAAAGCAAAATTTAGAAAATCGATTCCATGTTTATAACTTTCTTACTGAAGTAAAACCAAAAATCAGTAGTATTTAATCACTGACTTCAAAAAAATAAAATTTAGAAAGTTAAAATGGTTAATGAGAAGGAAGTCTTACTTAACAATATCCTTCTGATAATTTCCATCATATTAAAGCAAGAATATATATAAAGGTGTCTCCAACTTAGCACCCAATCCTATGATCAAATCAGACTGAAAATGCTATTCAGTACTTTCTTGGAGTGGGGGGCGGTGGCATTTAAAACACTGGGTATAGTAAGCAACTTCCTACAATCTGAAATATGTTTTGGTTTTAAATAACCTACAAAGGGTTGATAAGCTGTAAAAATACATGTTAATCAATCAACTCCAACTTTTCAAAAGTTTGCTTTATGCCCTTTCACTTTGATGAAAGACCAACATTCATACTGATTTTGTTAAATGTCAAACATTACAAGACACAATAGTCAATGAAAGTAAAGTGTGATGGTCAAAATGGTAATGATGTGGCATGTGATAAATTTGAATG